CACGCATGGCCACAGCACACGGACCACAAGCCGTCCAATCGGGAAACTGCTCAGCAAGCGCATCAGCGCTTTGAAAGGATGAAAGCCCAGGAACATGTCCCAGCGCCGTGGTGGTGAACTGTTGCGCCAAGTGGCTGCCGAATCGCACCGGGCCTTGTGGATGACCTCAGAGTTCCCACGGAAATGTGGCCATGGCCATGGGCCCGCTGCTGGCTGGCTCCAAGGCTGTCAAAAAACGCTATTCGCCACGGCAAGTTCAAAAACAGTCGGTACCCTTGGGTGTGCGACTGGAAGCTGAGACCTTGAGACCAAGCAGGTACAAACACTGCCAAACAAAAGCTAGCAGACGAGGAGAAACTTGGGGGCCCTAGCCTGAGAGAATCCCAGGCCGGCAAACTGCGAGCAAGCCTGCGAGTTTGCCTTCCTCTTCGGGGGCTGGTGGCGGGCTTGCGTGGCTGCAAATCTACTGTGAAAGAGCATCTCTCCGGAGAAGCCTGGATCCAGGAAGCGTCCACTACAAATTCAAAATCCGCATTTTCAAGAGAAGCGGCTGTAATTAGAATCACTCATGGAACAAACCGCAATTTCATCAAGTAATTGTGATGTTTCATTGTTTTTCTTTGGAGCTGTGGTTCCGGGAAAGTAGAAACTCCCCCTGAAAACATGGAACTATGGATCCAGACAGGAAGCTGCCGTTTGAAGGGCAACCGTTGCATCCCATGTGCCAAACTGCAGGCATCCTGGAATCCTGGACCAATATGCGAGTCGCGCCGCTCCGAGATGATCCATCCAGCGCATCGGCTGAATCCCCGTGGCTCTGAGTCCGCCGCGATGCCCGGCGTGTCCGACCTGAGCGCAAGCTTTGGCCGTCGGCACTACGGGGGCAAAGGCCGGCGAGCCCACCATGTCTCACCGCTTTGAACCCATGAGCTGGACTGCCTTGGCAAGGGGAACCTCTAATCCACCAACCACCCGACATATCCAGCCAACCAAACCAAAAAGAAAAACAATCCAAGCCAACCAAACAACCAACCAGACAACCAACCAAGCAACCCAACCAAGCAACCCGACCCAACCCAACCAAACCAAACCAAACCAAACCCAACCAACCCCAAGCAGTCGACAAGATGCGCCTTCAGTTTTGACCCCCGAGAACTCAGAGCGTCTCCGCATAGCCACTGAGTGTCATCAACAATGCCAGGCTTTGCTTAGTAGTACTTACTTGAAAGAGCCTTGCAATGACTTGGGCGCAAGTCATTAAGATCATTCCATTGATGCCTGTCAGTGGGCATAGCAGAAAGCCCAAGTCGACACTAGCTTCAGTCCCCTGCAGCATGGATGCCCCATAGATTTTACAAATGACCGTAGGGTCTCCGCTGAACAAGTATATGAACAGTGGCACATGAGGGCATCCAAATGGATCGGGACTACAGGAATCAAGTCAAAGTGCCGTGCGCGGTGTCTGTGAGCTTCTTTTAATGGGTTCAGTACAATCCCTATCAGCCACAAACAGCCAGGTGTCTTCACCATTGCGTCGGGAATGGTTGCATCGGTTCTACGTGTCTGCTGTTGCAACACTCTTCTGCCGGCCCAAACTGTGTTTTTCTTTCTTTACGTGTGCACATCACCTCACAGCCAGCGCCCACGCCAGTCCCTTGGCACTTTGCGACTGCCCGGGGCGCGGGCTTGTTCTGCAACTCCGCAACCTCTAAATCAGGCGCGGCCGCCCCCCATTTTGTCAGCTGGAGGGGGAGGGGGGGGAAGAGTATCCAAACTAAACATCAGTTTTGGTCAGTTGCAGACAAAGGTCAGCTGATAGTTTAGCATCTCGGTGATCCCGGATTTTTAGTGCACGGCTATGTCTAAATCACTCATGGTTGCGGCTGTGTGGCTGGACAGCTTCCGATCAGAACAACTCTCAGCCATACGATCCAAAACGTTTAGATGGTCTGCGCATGTCGGCATGCAATGCGGCGGGATTAGTTCCTTTCATATTGTTTTTGCTGGGGGTGAGCGTGTACTTTTACATGTTGGGCATGCTCAGAATCGCTGATACCGCCTTCATCGATTCAACACAAGCCCGGGCGTAGTGTCCCGTCAAAAGTCCCCCTCACAATTCCACTTACTCGTCTCACTAGACCCTCACATTGGTGCCCTCAAAGCCTTGCGCACAGGTGTCCTTTTTGGAAAACAAATGGCCCTGGTAGATGATTGAACCACCAGGTAAACCAGGGCCTTCTATTCTTTAAGCACACCAACCAAAATGGACACCTATGCTTGCGAAAGGGTCCATGGCCATCCTGGCACCGAGCCACTCAGGTGTGAAGCTCTCGCGCCTGCTCGCTCAACAGGTCCAAGCGCCCGCATACCTGGTGCTGACCGAGGCATCCAGTTGATATGAAGAAACGAGCCAAAAGCAGCGTGGGGTTCCTTGTTGTGGCCAGCATTGAAGGCCACAAGCCCAAAGGCAGAGGCCAATCCTAGATGCCAGCGGCCAGAGGAAGCAAAGTTTCACGCCACGAAGCCAAGAAGCTGCAGGTCAATGAAAGACAGGGCGATGCGTTGCATTCGTTTGTCATGCGAAGGGCCTCGAAAAACACCCAGGTCACACCCGGGCAACAAACTTTATATCACGCTTGATCGAATCCCCAGCGCAAGGCAATGGAAGTTCCTTGCACCGCGCAACATGCTGAGCGTTAGCATGCGTTGGCCATACATGAACCATGGCAATGTATGTAATTCTGTTCAAGCCATTGTTAAGTCTCGTAGCACATATTCTCCAGGGTATTAAAAAAAGGGTATGGCCGAGGGTGAGAAAGTAGATTTGAGTTGCATTTCGAAAGCCAACCCACACACACACACAGGGATACACACACAGAAGCGCACACACACACACACACACACACACACACACACACACACACACACACACACACACACACACACACACACGCACGCACGCACGCACGCACGCACGCACGCACGCACGCACGCACGCACGCACGCACGCACGCACGCACGCACGCACGCACGCACGCACGCACGCACGGGCGCACACACGCACACGCACACGCACACGCACACGCACACGCACACGCACACCCACACCCACACCCACACGCACACGCACACCCACACCCACTCCCACACCCACACCCACACCCACACCCACACCCACACCCACACCCACACCCACACGCACACGCACACGCACCCACACACACACACACTCACACGCACACGCACACGGCCGCGCGCGCGCGCGCAAGCGCACACAAACGCGCACACGCACTCAGACTCCTGAGGCAGGATGCCAATCAAGTTCGAGTCAACGCATCGTGTGTCAAGTGAGCAAATGTCACATAGAGTATAACCCTCTACTGACTTCAAAAAGGGGAGAACACAGAAGCAACAGCTATTCAAGGGTGGCCAAATAGACTTTGGTACGTGCTTCCATCCAAATTCGTCGGGCAACCAGCTGCACTGGGAGGTTGCCCCCAGTTGCCGAGGAGTTGGTTCCAGGGTAAATCTGGAACTCGGCACACACACACACACCTTCCACCCGCCCAGCAGGGCTGGCCTCCGCTAAAGGCGATTCTGTGCCACCAAGGCCTTGGCCATTGTGGTTGCAACTCTGCAATTTCATGATGTTCATCTGCTGATTAGTTTGCAACAAGGTACTGTTGCGCATCTACTTGGTGTTGTCCCAGTGCTGTTTTGCTCTATTTGTGATGCAGCCACCAGTGCAGCGGCTGATGCCCCTCTCGAAAGTGGATCAAAAGTCGATGCAAAGCAATCTGCGACACAATCCTAATTGCCACGTCGCTGCAACACACAAGTATGGCAAAGGGAGTAACAATTGAGCCAGTTCTGGAGGAAGGCCATCCCCAATGGCAGCTACTTGACTCATCCCAAGCTTCCAGCTGATGCCGATCTTGTTCTTGGGACCCAGAAGCGCTTCCAGGTCCTTCCGGTCACTCTACGAAAATGTTCTTTGTTCCCGCAACATAGTTCCATGCGGGCCGGTGATGTTTTCAACATGTTGCGCCAGTTGCTTGGATTGGCACGCAGTCTTCAAATGATAGTGCAGCACTGTGGTGTAGTACATTTGAATCATGAGCTTCTTCACGCGTGTTGTTGTTCCCGTTTGCCGAATGGCGAAGAGTCCAAGGCTTGTTAAGTCTCCCCAATCACAACGTGTCCTCTAGCACAGGGTCACTGTCCATGACAGTGTGCCCAGGGTTCAACCACCGTGTGTCAGGTGCGTCGCTATTCTTCCTTGTCCGCTGGTTAGTTTATGATAGTTTCTTCGGTGTCTGGCCAGAGGAGTACTTGCCACCCAAAGTGAACAACATGCGGACCCCTCCCCAAAACAACCCCCTTTCACATTCGAAGAGCAGCTGAGGCTGGGAGCTTATGAGGAGCTGTCGCAAGGAACCCCAGACTGAAACACAACTGGTCAGTTCCTGTAGGGCTGCTTCTTTAGACCTAGCACATCCATGGGCATCGGGCTACCTGTTGGGACCCGCAGTGTCCAGTTCTCCTCACAGGACACCAACGGCTCTTCAACGCCACCATGCTGGCACCAGGATGGCAGCCACTTGGATTCACCCCGGAAAGCTTCGAGCAAAAGGGTCCGGAGGGGTGTCTTTCTTGAGGGTACCCCATGTCCAGTATTTGCTTCAAACACGTTGACCAGGGTCATTCCCCCAAACCCTCCAGTCGCCCAATCCTTTGCCGTGGCAGAGGATGCTGACTCTGCTGTGCTGAGTCGATCCACCTGGGATCAATGGCAAACAGTCATCTGGAAGGGTGAGAATGACACCCGAAGACGGTCAGGAAGGGCAAACATATGCATTACTTGAGGCTGATTCCAAGGCCTATTCTGGCCTTCTTCAAACACTGGTATCGCCCAAGAGTCGATCCATTTAGCGAACACGATGAAGGAATTCCACAAGGTCATCGGTCAAAGCAGATTGGCAAGCTGATACTGCACTCACCAAACCGTCGGCGCACTCCGGAGTTTCAGCAGCAGGCAGTAGACGTTTTGTTGTTTTCCCTTTTTGCCATAAACTGCAGGTTCTGGGGCACGGACAAGATCCGCGACTTCCTTCTTGACATCTTGGACCTCCTTCCAATCACATTCAAGCTTCCACGACGTAATGCGGTGACACTCGAGCCACTGTCAATACCCTTTGTTGCCCCAAACAGACAGGCTACTCGCCTGGACGCTGATGTGCAAGAACCACGGCTGGCGATGTTGGCTCCTTCTTGACCATGGAGGACGTCGATTCTGTGGAGGTCAAGCGGCCGACCTCGGCGCAGTGGACAGTTTCTTTTTCTAAGCCGAGGCGAAGCGGCATGTGTGATCCTTTTAGGAAGGACAATTGTGGGTTGGATGAACCATCGAGCCCCATGCAACCTTTCTGCGTATTGCAAGTGCGGAATAAACAGTGCCGCAAGGGGGGTGCCCTTGTATGCGGACTCATCTTTGCCCCCCCACACCTCCAAATCTTAGCTCCGGTCAACATTGCTCAGCTCGTTCCGGAGGTTTTGAATCTCCTGTCGGCCAGCGAGCGGGGAGGCGCTGCCAGGCATCAATGCCCAGCTTGTCCTCCCCTACCAAAGACTCCATGTGGCGAGGCCGCTTTCCAGAATCCTGTTCCTTGAGGCTCGAGCAATGCTCTTGAAAAGAGGAGGAATTCCAGTTTCTTTGTGCTCAGGTTCAACGCGGTTCCATGACTGCTCACAGGCTCCGCCTCCTTTTACTGAACCGGCGGCATCCATCTAGTTTCAACCGCCCCAAAAGGGACACTTGGATCTCCTCAACTTGGATCTCCTCTACGTTCCGAACCCGCGGCCGCCGGCCTTCTCCAGCTCAGGAGACCGCGAAGGGGCCTTCAGCTGCTTGGCAAGCTCCTCGATGTCTCAGGATCGGGGCACCCCTAGCGGTAATTGGTTGCCTCTTGGTTTGCCGCTGAAACCAATCTACATGAGGGGGGCCTCTCAAACAGGGATGCACTCAACTACCAAAGGTCACCATGAGAGACCAATACGACTCTAAGCGCAGTCGGCAGTTCACGCCCGCTGCTCTGTTGGAGCCCAAATCACTGTCTGGGGATTCAACAATTGTAGGACCGCCTAAAATTTGGCCAACTGAGTTTAAAAGAATGGTGTGCGGGAGTCGCATTTGGACTTCTGATGCGATTTGGAATCACTTCTGATTTGGAAAACCTCACTTCTGATTTGGACTCCGACGTGACAGATGTCTAACGTGGGCATCGGTCAAGCGAATCCGGAAGCCACTAATCCAGCCTATGTTTGTGGGGTCAAGCAACTCAACACCTGAGCTAGGCGGGAACAAGATCTAGCAAGCAAGCAACAGGCACTGATTGCTAGGCGAAATGGGCAAAATTGCCCAAAACAGGCCTGCTGGGCAAAAAAACACGGCACGTTTGGCCCGGGCTGTTTCGGCCACCCTCAAACCCTAGGATTGCCACGCATAGCTTAGTCAGGACAACTCCAGCAGTGCTTTCGTGATCTAACTCCAGGCTTTGTACGCGCTGAGTAAATCATGGCAAATCGGCTGGCTCTCGGCACAAAAACAGGTGCTCAAATTCCACATGGCTCTTGACTGCGGCATTGGGCGGGCGGGCAAAGCGCTTTCCCACCATGTTAAGCAGGCAACCGACCAACCAACCAACCAACTTCCTTCCACGTTCCGACAGAAACGGAGGCGAGCATCTCCTTTGGGTTCATGCCATCTCATGGCAGGAATGCACGTTGCAGCCGCTCGGGGGCTGAAGGGTTGCTCAAAGCAAACCAACAAATACATAGCGTAATCAACCGCCCTTCAGTTCCAGGACCTTGTTGGTCAGAGCCTTGTACTGTAATGCAGTGGGCACATAGCATGCAGCATGTGTGTGTGCTCTTCACAGAATCTCACTTCTACAAACAAGTTCAAGCATGGTTCAAGCATACGATCCTCCTGCACAGTGACACATGCGTTCTGTGTCGATAGCAAACAAGCTGGCCCGCTCGGTTGCACCGGAGAGGCACGAGTCTCGAGTCCAATCCCCTCCTCCACGGTCGTCTTGGCTTCGCATATGTCCTTCTGATGCTCTGCCTAGGAGCTTCACATTTCAACAATGGAGTGTGATTTACCTGGTCAAGGCCTGGCTTGAAGCATTTTGTGCAGAATCTTTGGTTTGGGCCGTCCCAGGTAGGAACGAGGAATTGCAACCGGTTGCCTCGACTCGCTGCACCCTCTTGGGTGTGCTTGCCCTCCTGAATTTGAATCCACTGGTCTCACGAGAATGGGAACTAGCCACGAGACCCAGCTGCCTCCCCAGCTCTCTCACCCACCCCTCGAGGCCCCAACCAGGTTGGCCACCTCCTTAGAGAGCTGCACGCCGAGGTCTTGCACCTAGACATAGAATCGCAACCTTCAAGAGCACAGCTCACAGCTTGGTAGTTGCTACTTGCTCAGTTCAAGCCAAACCCCAATCATTCTTGTGTTGTTTGCCCGCTCTGACTGGATCCCAACCAATGGCCCTTGTAGCCGGTGTAGGGGCCAATTCCTCCATTGGAGACCCCCACCCAGGCAAGTTCCTTGGGAAAATCTGCCTTATTCCTTTTCGGCCATTCTATGCACCTCCCCCGGAAAAGGGGACGGGTCGGATTCCAAACCAAACGCTCCGTCGCCTGCTGCTGCACCTGTGACCGCAGCTTTGCATCCTGCGGATGCCGGGAGATGCTTTCGCGGGAGATCCGCGACGAGCCCAGAAAAAGTGTTCAGCTGGTTGGACCCTCAACAAATCAAAACGGGAACCGAAGTGACGCACTCCGGCCACAATAGGTCGGCTTGATGCCGTCCCGCTTGAGCTGGTAAGTGAGCTAAGTGAGTTGGTGAGTCTTTCAATTTCCCTTTAATATGTCCCTTGATAGTTTGCGCTTCAAAAAGGCCAATGCAACCAAAGGGGGAGGCAACCAACGCACAAGCGGTGTTTTTACCAGGTCGGCACCGAACAAACATGCCGACCCCCCCCCCCCCCTCCGAACACAGGAAACCACGACACCAACGAGCTGCTTGAGCGCGGGAACGAACGCAAGCAAGACCGATTCTGGACTCGCCTCTCTCGTTTCCTGGCCGCTCACTTCCCCTGCAAAGAAACTAGGTCCTCCAGTAGAGAGGTTAGAATAAGGGAACCTTTTTCCTGTAGTCTATTTTAGTCGGGGAACCCTCCCCCAAAACAGGGTAAAAGGACACTACTTAGGGGACCGAAGAAATCATCCACAACCTAAAAAACCAACTCGCCCCAATGGAACCCATCCCCGAAACCTGAGACATGCCGAAGCTCCGACCCTCCCACCCTCCTCCTCATGCCCGGAGCCTGCGGCTCGGCGAACCGAACGGACCAAGTGCGATGCATGGCCAATGTGGACCCGCCTTCCACAGCTAGGGCTACACCCACCTCCATTTGCTTAAGTCCCCCGGAAAAAATAGAACAATTCCAGTAGTGATAGATTCCCCTTACCACCAACAGGGGAAGTAAGAAAATATTCTAAACCAAATGGAAGCCCACCAGAAATACATGTGCTTGGGGATTTGCTGTGGGTCCACGCTGTCCCTGTCAGAAGTGCGTGGCTTCTCCCAAGAGAACAAAGGAGAACGTGCGCCATCAACATAGGCCCTCTATGGTGTTCACTGAAAGCACCAACCCTCGAGTTAAGACTTGAGATCCAGCACCTGCAACAACCAGAAAATTGCCAGTTTGCCGTTCGAGGTAAAAGTACGGATGAAAATCAACTGGATTGTAGGATTAGAACGAATATTCTCTGATGGCATTCTGGGATATGCTTACTGATGAATAAGCACTGTCAATTGCAGAGTGATTGTTTCCGGTGTTCTCATCACGTATCAAGGGAATAGACCGGCTCAAATTGGGGGAGCACCATGATCCTGCCAAACTCACGGAATGCAAATGCCTTCGAATTGAACACTGGGAGCACCTGGGTAGCGTCGCTGAAAAGGACACGGACAAAACCCGAACTTGGTTGAAGGTCGGGATGCTATTTTGACACCAACTCTCCGTTCTGGCTGTTTGTCAAACGTGTCAGGACGCCAGTGAATGTGGTTGCCCCCAAAATGGCGGCTTCCTTTTGGTTCCTGTTAAGACCACAAAAAAAGGTCCCCCAAAACAAGTGGCACACCCAAATGAGTGCCAAACACCTCAGATGACTGTCAGCCGCCTCAGAAAGGCCATCTGCAGCCCTCCTGCCCTCGCCTTCAACTTTTTGCTCCAGCTGCTTCATCTGCTCCCGCAGCCTTGCGAAAGGAGGCGAATTCGGCGAGCATGTTTGCTGATTTGCACCGCGCAAAAGCAGAGGCTCTATGTGCGACCAGAGCAATGACAAATTAAAGCACTCAACAACCGCAGCCAGAGCTGAGGCTTGAAGGACTTGCATCTTACATATCTCTTGAGCTATTTCATTTGTATGTCTTTATTGAAGTTCTCCTTTTGACCTCCCTAAAAAAACAACCAACAAGGGGATGTATTTGTCTCATGAGTTGAGCTCCCCGCAACGAGTATATAGTCTTTACAGAGAACCAACCATGGATCTTAGGAAACACCGTGCCGGAATCAGCAGAGCTTTCCTGGCAAAGAGTTGCTGGAATTAAGACCTGATCTCGCCCACACAGGCCGCAAATCCAGGAATTTGCAAAAACACAAAAAAAAAAAAAAAAAAAAAAAAAAAAAAAAAAAAAAAAAAAAAAAAAAACTAGTCCGAAAAACTCAATCTGAAATAGTCTGAATCTGGGAAGACTCAAAAGAAACTCAAAAACAACTCAAAACGGACTCAAAAAAAACTCAAGCAGGGGTCTGGGGAGGGTTCTGGGGGTGGGGGAGGGGCAAAATGCAAAAGCAACCGCAGAAAACACAAAAAACTCAAAAAAACTCAAAAACAACTCAAGAAACAACTCAAGCAAGGGTCTGGGGAGGGTTCTGGGGGTGGGGGAGGGGCAAAATGCAAAAACAACCGCAGAAAACACCAAAAAACTTTATAATTAAAAAACAACTCAAAAGAAACTCAAAAAAACTAAACAACAAACTCAAAACAGACTCAAAAACAACTCAGGCAGGGGTCTGGGGAGGGTTTTCTGGGGGGTGGGGGAGGGGCAAAATGCAAAAACAACCGCAGAAAACACAAAAAAAACTCAAAACAAACTCAAAACAGACTCAAAAAAAACTCAGGCAGGGGTCTGGGGAGGGTTTTCTGGGGGGTGGGGGAGGGGCAAAATGCAAAACAACCGCAGAAAACTTTAAAAAAAAAAAAAAAAAAAAAACTCAAAAAACTCCAAAAAAAAACAAACTCAAAAACAACTCAAGCAACAACTCAAGCAAGGGTCTGGGGAGGGTTCGTGACGGAGGGGCAAAATGCAAAAACAACCGCAGAAAACCAAAAAACTCAAAAAAAACTCAAACAAACTCAAAAAAACTCAAGACAGACTCAAAAAGAACTCAAAAAAACTCAAATATCCTGCTGTGTTGTTTGTTGTGTTTTGTTTGAGTCTCCTGCTGTGTTTTTCTTGTGTTTTTTTTGAGTCTCCTGCTGTGTATTTCTTGTGTTTTTGTTGAGTCTCCTGCTGTGTATTTTGTGTTTGTTTTGAGTCTGTGTTTTCAGTTGAGTTTTTTGGCTGAGTTATTTTCTGAGTTTTTTTGAGTTTTTGTTTGTTCCGCGAAAACCTCTCCTGTCTGAACCCGTCTGGTCATAATGCTGGAACATGAGACATTCGGCATGGTGGCCACAGCGCAAATCGGTGGATCGCGCCAGGGTCCCCACTCTGTGAGATCCAAAGAAGGCTGCGTCGAAGGCTGCATCGAAGGCGACTCCTGGAGTCAGCTCCAGGCGGTTTAACAGCCACAAGTCAAGGGCTACTTTTTAAAAGAAATGAAAATGTGTGATGATTGGATGATTGAGGGCCCAAAGTAAGGGTGGACTGCCTTTCTCCTTCAAGCACTGAAAGGAGGGGTACATTCCGCCATTCAAACCCCGCCCTCTCCTGCACCTTCTGACGAAGCTGCTCCACCCTGGGAAGTTTCGGGGCACGTGCGATGTCGGCTCGCTCTTAGGGTGGGCCAGCAACACGCATAGGTCCAAGGTCCTCAGGAGGGCTGGACAAATTCAACCCGGCTACCGTGGTACCTCATATTACGAACAGCTAGACTTCCCCAAAGGAGGGCTCGCGTCAATTACTCTTTCCATGTTCAGGGCGCATGCAGAATACATTTAGGGGAGCCAAGGTTCTAACCAATTTAATGTGGCCCTCCTTCTAAAGCACGTCCGAAATGGCATCCAACTTTGCCCGCTGCTCCCCCTGCGCTTCCCAGTCTCAGGCCAAAGCATCTGGCGGAGATCCTGGCTGTAAGGCGTCCCAGGCCAAATCAACACGTCGTGCTGATACTGAAAACAAGCAAAGAAAATGAGGGCCTTTGACAAAATTGAGTTGTTTTCTTTAGAATGCAAGCATCAAGCAAATCAGACTAGCGCTTCTTTCAACCAAAATCAACCATGTCCAAAGCGGCCCGGAATATGGGTGTGGCTCAAAAATTAAGGCGCGCCAACGCGCGACGGGCCGCGGGCAGAGTTTTATGTTCCTGGCACCCACTTTGCCCTGCCGCCTGCCAGGCTGCTTAGCTTGGCCAAGCCCCGGCATCTTTTTCTCCAGCTTGCCTTGCTTCGCTTTGCTGATTTCACCCCTTCCCCTCCTAACAAAAAGGTTCCGCTAAGATAAAAACTAGAGGACTATTGGCCGAAAGCATGCTTCCAACGTTTTTGAGGGAATCATTCAGCACCCCCCTTCCAGGATGCGTCAGCACACGCACGAAAGCCACACCCCATAGAACATGTCCTACAAGCCACTCACACTCTGCGCAGGTTGCCCTGCGCAAGTTGCTCGAGCTCTGCGCAAGTTACTCTGCGAAATGTTCCTCGGGGCAAGTTGCTCTGCGCATATTGCTCCGTACAGGTAGCTCTGGGCAAGTTGCTTTTCCCAAGTTCCTCTGTTCAAGTTGCCTTGTGCAAGTTGTTCTGCGTGGGTTCCTCTCTTCAAGTTGCCCTGTGCAAATGTGCTCTGCGCAAGCTGCTCTTGCATTTGAGGAGCTCTGAAGCCACGCTACCCACACGTAGCGCCCCGTGCTTCTTTAAGCAACAAGCATGTGAAGACTAAGATGTAGAAACGCGTGAATATGCGCCCACCGAAAATGTTGCAAACCAGCTCGCGCATTTCGGCAGCGACTCACTCAGAAACACGGCTGTTCAAGGCAAATAAAACACTGCACTTCAAAGGCAACCAAAAGAATTCGGCTGACACTGGCCGAGGCGGGCAGCGCGACCTTCCCCAACCTAGCAGCAGACTATGGCGCCAATGACTCGGAACTTCCTCCATGTAAATGGATCCCACGAAGACAACCACCTGCGTAAGCCCCCAGTGTCGAACCGCGTAGGGCAGAGCCCTTCTCCCAGCCCCAACATGAAGCTCTTCCATCTCAACCTCTCAGAAGGTTCGGGTACAAAATCGATCTTTGACGAGGACCGAAGGAAACCAACTGTCGTTCAGCTCTCAAGCCTTCAACTGTTGGTCTACCCCCCTAGAGTCACATACATCTGATGTTAATTCCCACGGAAGGAACTCTGTACCGTCAAGGGCCTTTCACAGGTGATCGGCTCGAGCAAGTGCGGATGCCCCCGGCACCCCTCGCTGTCCTCATCAGGCTCTGATTTGGCCAGCACCAGGGTCGCCTTCGCGCAAGCTCCCCCCAATTCGAATCACGTGCGCTAGAATCGCGGGAGACTACCTGACACCAAAACATAGCCGAACTACACACGTCCGTTTGTTCCCCAAACGTGGGAGAAACTGGTGCACCCCCTTATCCTTGCAAAACTAACAATGAACCTCCCTTTGAAACAAGCACCAAACTCCGTCACAGATTTGCACATCCTCTTGGCCGCCCGTTGACCCCCACCGCTTTCCTAAAAACAGCCGCTAATTTGGCCTTCTTCGCCTGCTCCTCCAGGCTGGTACTCAGCGATTCAACCTGCCCGAGTTGGGCTCTGCCATGTGCATGTTAGCAAAACCCAATCGCGTTCCTATGCTCTGCCACTGGGATGGGCAGGTGGGACAAGCACCGGACACCTTCCCGAATCCCGACATCCGATTGATGCGCCTCTTTCCTGAGCGTCTCCTGCACCAACGACACGTCCTGAGGCGAAACGCAGCGACAGGACAACTGAGCGGCTGGGAAACCCCTCAATTATTGGTCTCGGTTGGCAAGCCATGCCTCACACCAGGCAAATTCTTTAGCCCTTCGAGCTGAGAAGCCCTTGAAATACTCATCCAAGCGAAGCTGGCCTTCACGCTGGTCCCATGTGAGCTCTGGAGCCATGATTCCAATCATGAAACCACAAAACATTCGTTTCGAGAGGACCGCTTGTCTTGCCTTTGCCAGGGGTGCCAACTGTCGGCTGCAAAACGAAGGCTTGAGACTTGTGATAAACAAAACGAATTATTGTTCTGATCTACTGGAATATTTGATTTGAAGGATAGGGTGTCATACAGCTCAAGCTTGCCGACACCCTCGAGCCGACCATTGCATCGCTCAGAACATGCTTCAGAGGAAAAGGACCAACAGGTCTCTTTAAGATGCTGTCAACTTTCTTTGAATCCGACGAATTGTTGGAAGGCTGGTGCGGGGATGGACCAAACCCTGACAAGCCAACCTGATCAACCCAAAGCTTGATCTGCCCCGAAGAGGAACGCACAAACAAGTGCGCCAATCCGGAGCTAGCTCGCATGTCTCAAAACCGCAGCCAACAACACCATCCTTGCTTTGTTTCTTCAAAAATGACAGGAACAAGGCAACCAGGACAGGGCAATCCCGAGCAAATCGCGGGGAAACTTTCCGCTCTCCGGCCATCGCTCGCCTGGACCTTCAAGGGCAAGTCTTTCAGCTGCTGCACCGCCTGGCTCAACGCATTTGGGGTCAGAAACACAGTTTAAAAAGCGGCGAGCGCCAAAAGGGGGGGGGGGGGGGGGCAGGTTCTGCAGTTGGGAAGCACCCGCACGAGACTCTGCTTAAAAAGGCAGGGGTAATACCCCTGGTTATGTCCCACTTACCATGGTTATAAGCTATAAGTCGCCTAAGGGGATTGTAGGCTTACTAACCACTCACCAAGTACCCTGCCCCTTTAAGTGTCAGGCTTCTTCCTTTTGCTGTCAATAGAAACCTCCCTAGTCGCGCTCTGCCACTAGTCGCGCATGACTAGAAAATGGCAAAGGGAAAGCAAAAGCAATGCGTACCCAACTTGAGAAATACAGACTATTAGACCATATAATTGCCGCCGGAGACGGTCAACATACTCCCATGGTGCAATACCAGTTGCTTCGATGCTTGAGTTCCCTCGACTACGTAAAACGGCATTGTACTTGGGAAGTGGACAATAACCATGGATATCGCCACATGGTGGTTCAGTGGGTTATAACCAGGCTTACTAGCCACATACTCAGTAGCCTGCTCGTTTAAGTAGGCTCCAGCCTCTCTCCCTCTGGCCCGCCCTACCCACGCAGTTGGCCTCCTCAAGCTCCACCTTGTCCGAGTCGGCCTCGTGGAGCCAGGCCGCTGGCACATCCCAACCGCCCCAAGCGGGACCGCCGCGGGACTCCGACGGCCGAAAAAGGCGCGGTGACGAAACTGCCGGTTTGCGACCACGGCGGTGCAAAAAAAAGAGAGACTCGCCTTGAGATCAAAGTTGGGCCAAACGCCAAACAAGCTCATAGTAGTCCAAAGTGCTCATGGGCGTCCTGTTGTCTGCTCTTCAAAGTGTTCAGGCCTCGCTGAGCACACTTCGCTGCTAAGCTGGCTTCGAATTGCATGACCTATGCAGCATCCCACCATCCCACCATCCCAGCGGCCTTCGCCCCGGCCTCTTGGAGCCTGGCAAATGCCAAGTCAAACTTTGGGGCTTCACGTGGCGCTTTGCCAGCTGGCTTGGGTCCTCAATTTCCGACTCCGGTTCTCTAAATACGAAACATGCTGGTGCCGGGTCACCTTCGATTTCCCTTTGTGTTTGCACTGGCAGATAGAGAAGTGGAAGGGGTGCCGATGTTTTCACCAGCCCCCAGCGCCGCAGTCTGACGGCAGGCGGAATCTTGAATGGACCCTGACCCAGGACTACTAAATGCCCGGACCTGCAGCAAGAAATTCTCACAAAAAAACTCCGATGGTGAGCCCTAAAGTGCGACAACCCCCCGTTTTCCAGGCTTCCTTTGGCTTCCTTCCAAGACAACTATGGCAGTGGGCATCAAAAACCGATGCAACAATGCGTGTCAAAACGAGGAATCCACCGGGGCGTCCTCTTTCCCTTGCAAGTGAGTTACGACTAGGCTTACTTACCCCTTACTAAGCAGAGAAACTGTTCTACTTCAACAAGAAAATGGTATTCTCTTGCTCCGAAAAGGAAATCCGCCATCAAGCACCGCTTCGACCGAATCCGTCGCAGCGGAACGGATTCGAGCCTTTGGATACTCTTCTGCAGCGCTGCGAGGTCCTGCGGCTGAGTATGATCACTGTGGGTGGCTCGTCTTTTTGTTAGGGGTACCCCTTTTTGGGGTTGGCAAAGAGGGACACCAAAAGGAGAACCACCATTTTCGGGTTCCCTAAAAAACACAGCCGTGTTCACTTCTCAGCGGAATTCGCATGGTCCAATGGTGGCACTTGGGCCTTTCGTGGTGACATGCCCCGATTGTCCTTAGGGAAGTAGTGGAGGGTCGGAGAGGAGGAATAGCAGACGGTATGCCGGCAGTAGAGATCGCCAATTGACCATAATTCCCAGCTGATTTGCTGTGATCAATTGAGGGAAATGAGACTTCATGAGCTTTCGGGCCTCTGACCCACAAAGAAAGATCCAAAATCAGGAAAACTAGGCAAATTGGCTCGGACGACTGAATCCTGCAGACATGGACATCAAGAATTGAATGTTCACAGTCATGGCAATGCTATCCCTCAGCTTAGCCATTTGGGAGCCACTCCCTTTCTGCTGAAAATTGTGTGTGCGTGTGTGTGTCTGTGGGTAGCGACATGCCAGTGGACCTGCTTGATAGATACTACCACTTCCCGATTTTCCGAGGCCACACGGTGCCCGCCTCGCCGGACGAAACAGTGCCAGTCTGCGCCTGAGTCAAAGAGGGCCGACTGCTGGGCTCGTGAGGGGAAGTGTCCAATTGCAGGCTAAACATCAAGCGGTTGGGGCTCTCGGTTGCACGCTGAAGCATTCGGAGGCCCAAAATACGCTGCTCGAAGGCGATCGCTTGCGCAGCTCAGCTCAGCCTCCATACGTATGGGTAACAACCGGCTTGGTACTCTGCAGCTCGTACACATCCACAAGTCGCAACATGCACCCCCAAACCACTCTGTGGGAAGTCACAGAATCCCTGCTATCCCGCCTCTTTCTCCTTTTGCACGTCTCGGATCTTTCTTTCGACCTGATAAGAGACAGTCTCAATGTGGTACCCCTCAAACGGAGACAGAGCAGCTCATGTCGAGAAACTTAAGACGCTCGAAGTTCAAAGCGCAGTTAGATAGGATTCCACCAAGGCCGAGTCAGCTCACACCCAATGGCCCTATCTTTATTAATCTCAGTCGGCCGCGTCACTGTAAAAAAACAATCGAGGGGTCCTTCAACCAAGCCTAAACAAGAGTTGTACCTACGTCTCTGGCTGGCCCCGCAAAAAGAACCGCGGCAACAATTTGATTGTGCCCATGGGGGGACAATCAGGCAAGTGTCTCATTTTATTTCTTCCCTTACTATGTACGGCAGCACCCAGCTAACATGAGGAGGTTAACATCTCATGCATCAACCCTCAACAACCTCCAGAGTGGGTGACCCCCTTTTTGAGGCCACCCTTTTTCAGGTTGCTCAAAAAGGACGTCTAAACCATTCTGATCTCCCATGTTGATACCACCAATAGAAACTTCCCACCATCTCCTTACAAAACTCCAGGCTAGCCCCTTAGATCCCTCTTGGAAAAAAAAGGCAAGCATGGACCCCCAGCTCCTTGGCTCCTCTAACCATCTTGCATGGCTCAAAATCCCGTATCCCCAGTGAACATCAACCAATCCCCACTAAAATAGGTTCTGAAATGGGTGGTGAATTCACCTACCAACAAAACTGGGATCCAAAACGGCTTTGAGCAACAGCCATTTGGAAGTGCCACCCTTGGCCTACTTGACCTTGCGGAAGTGAACAGGTCCGTATAGCTTCACTGGCCAAACACACTTGCCCACCTTCTAACCATCTGAATATGGGTCAAAATTAAGTCACCCGGGGACCGCAGGTCTTACTTTTCCATTTGCCCGGGTCCCATTTTGGGTACCTATTTTTGACCCACAGATCTAGGTTTCTCCGAATCTCGGCCGCACCATCCGCCTCTTCCAGCTTCTCCAGCAGCGCCTGCTCCGCGCTCGCCTCCGCCTCCGCGTCCGGCAGCCGCCCGCGCCTCGGGCGCTTGAGAGAGCACCCCGAGTACACCTGGAGGGGGCAGGCATCTTGTCATATGGCTGTGGGTCAAAAATAGGTAAATGGCACCCTGGTAAATGGAAACATGGACCAAAACCTGTGGTCCCCTGGTGGCTTAATTTTGACCCATACCCATATGTTGGAGACCCTTCTGGAGTGGAAAGAAGAAGCCGGAGAATTCGGATTTCTTTCTTATCTCTTGGAGGCATCATACTGTGGATGGACGAAATCCTGCACCTTGAAACCATAAGAAACCATTGCTGGTTGGCATTCACTGGCGAATTGTCATTTCAGGGTTTCTCAGGTGGTGCATGATTTCGTCCATCCACAGTATGGTGCTTCCAGGAGATAAGAAAGAAATCTGAACTTCTGCCCCTCAAACAAAAGTACCCAGAATATGTGACTGTGACCGTGTTTGCCCGTTCCTTCCTCTTCCATTCGGACGCCCCCCATCTTGGCCCCAGGCAGGTCCTTGAGCTCCTGCTTGATGGGTGCCATGGCGGCCTGAGCCGGCGAGGGAACCTGGGAACCTGGGAACCTGGGGGGCGGGAATGGTTTTGGGAGGGGGGGAGTGGTTTTGGTGGGGGGGGTTGGTTTAAAGAGGAAACCAACATGCCAACACAATCCCCCTATTTTGACCACAAACCCATTCCACTACATGCAACACATGAAGCGGACAGCCAGCAACCCAAAGAACGGCCCGCAACCAGCCTCGACAGCATTCTTCGCAGCCACCAGGCCCTCTTTGAGGTCGTCCAAGGTCATGTCCACCTGCTCGATGCTCGATGGATGGCGCAGCTGCGAGGCAAAACCCGCTTCAGACGTATCCTGTTCCCACGTGGCAACCGACGGCAAAGGAGAACTCGTGGCACACACTCCCAGTTCGAAAAGCCAGCGCAAGAGGGCTTCACCGCGATCCACATGCTCCCGAGTCAGATGAATCGGGTCTGTCAGCAAGCAGCCTGTGTTGGAGCCTCAGTAACCTTGTGAAGGGCGAAACTCCTCTTAAGAGGAGATTCGACTCTCGTATTTACCACCAAAATGGTCTTTCCACCAGAAACTCAGGCATTCGGAAAGGGCGCAAGGAAAAGGCTCCAGCACACGGGGTGTCCAGCCTTGTCTCCCAGGCCTTCCACCTCCTGCTTCACCTGGCCAAACATGTTCCAAACAAGTCCGGTGAGATGTCTATGTGTATCAGGCAGCTCAGCAGCAACAGCCCATCCCAAGAGGAACAAACATAAACCTGTGCGGGTTGGCTTCGATGTTTGTGCTTTGGTAGTTGACAGTTGGCATTCTGAACCGTTAACCCCCAGATTGGTTGTCCCCAGGATGGTCACGTTCACGCAGATTGATGCATCAAGGGCATTACCAACGTCAAAACACATTCCACCTTCATCGTTTCGGCCCAACACCTGAACTCCAAGCCAACAACTGAAGGCCCCTTGCCCTGCGCCCCACCTCCTGCATGTCGGCAGCCAACTTGACAGTCGCGGCCGTCGTTGCGTCGTCGACCTGCGCAACACTTCCGGGTAGGCAGGCAGACGCGCGCGCTAGTGGCTCTCAGTTGGCTCCTGTCACGCTTGCGGTCCGAAGAAAGTTCATGGTGGCCTGCCCACAACCAAGTTCCATGGTACTACTACTACCGTACTGCCCCATAAATGTAATGTTGCAAGAATACCGTGCATCAGTCAGAGTTTATCAGCAGTATTGTGTTTTCATTGTTTCTGTACATCAACACGGGATTAAGCTTTTGACACGATGTATGCAGGGGGTCGTGCGGGTGTGAAAATAGCCAGCATTTCCGCTGATGTGTGGCGCATCGACAGGCACACTCCACGCAAATGGTCGACGCTGTTGTACACCGACATACACACAGGGTTACTCGGGGACCGAAAAAAGAAAAAACAAATAAGTGGTAGTTCCACTGGCATGCTGCACATCGACACGCGAAAGCCACGCGGAGGGACACGCGGGGATGCAAACGGTCCAGTTGTCTTCTATCCATCGACGCACACGCCCATCCATGCAGAGGGTCACGCAGGGATGCACAGAAAGAAGTAGCATGTCCCTTGAGCTTCTCATCACAAACCATCCACACAAAGGGTCGACCGCGGCCTGCAAAGCATTGTGCTCCCATTGGGTTTCTGCATATCGACGCGCAGAATCTGCGAGAGGACTACATGTTCGCACACTTTGGTCGGTCCTACCGTGCCGCAAGCCCTTACAAGACTAATGCAATTGAAGCTGCACATACGAATCTTCTAATCTTTTGAGGCAAGTCTTCTGGAGCAAAGCTCTCCTTGACACCTTTCTGGGCAATCTCTCAGCGCGATCTCTTGACGCTTCTCTTGATCTCTCAGGCGCTCTGGTGACTTCTCTCTATACCTCTCAGGGGATGCAGAAGAACCCTTCTCTATGCTGTCGCGAACAAACAATGCGCTCCAAACATAAGAACAAGGCCAAGGCAAAGGCCAAAACGTGGCAGATAGGACTGGAGGCATGCCATGGAGTCCGATACTAGCGCATCCACAAATAACTTAAGAATGACTCTAACATCGGATTTTTCCCCGATTTGGAAAAGAGTATGGCTCTACTGTCACGTTGCATTGTTCTCGCTCGTACAAGTATGCAACCTGCGAAACATCCAGGTTTCATTGGTTGGCACTGGCCCTCTCTTGTAGATGATCAAGCAGCACAAATGCAAACCCAAGCAAATGCAAACCCAAGCAGATGCAAATCCTGAGGCGGGCCCAGCCATCATTCAAGACAAGATCCCTGGACATGTTTGGGTCGAGCCTGGGTGAGGCCTGGCGACTCCAGACGTTCGAGCTTCTCAAGAAGCTCCTGGCCAACGACGCCCCAGCCGGCCCCCCCCCCAGTGCCTCTGGGAGAAACGCGCTTTTCGCACATTTTGGGAAAAGACACGGCACCACTGCACAGCGGCATTTCCGCTGGACCGTTCTGTCTCAATGGGGTCTGCTCTGCCTTCGGGTAAAAACGACACGTACTTTTGGCTTCTGCTTCGGGGACCCTTTGCTGAACAGGTTTGATGTGGGGGTTTATGTCCGACCATGTTGGAGGTCGGTCTCAAAAAAGATTCGCCAAGGCCAAGGCCAAAACCATTTATTCGCCAGGGCTGGCTGCGTCGCGACAGCAACACCCACACTTCCTCATGTGGCAACGCGGGATATGATGGCAACAAAAGTACGCAAGCCCACAACAGCCCGAACTCATCATCGTCACCCTGTGTCGAGTCGTTTGCCGGCTTCACTCCGACGCTTGACAACCTCAAGTGGTCGATTGGGAATAAAATCCTAGCTTCCGCGAATACATCCTGTGTGGAGGTGCGTTGAAGCTGCCACAAGCTTGCTGCATTCAGGGCAACAAATGTAACACTTGACAACGGAGTAGATTACTGCTCGGAAGGGAATGTAGGATCAACCCGCCCTTTCGCTTTCAACCATCCAACGTCGTGTCAAAGAATCACTGAAAATGGCTGTGGCAAGCTCCACTCCCCTTGTCGCGGGGTCATGCAACCGGCCACACAATGCAGCCCCACGGCTCTCGCCCATCGTTGCCAACCAGGCTGGAACTGCCAGCCGCAAAGCGTCCACTTCCGCGGCAGGCGCCTCCCAGCCAGATATTTCTGGGCCCTGTTTTCCGTGTGCCATCTTCAAAGTTGCTGCAACTGGCAAGCAACGGCAACCTATGACATTGAACAAGCCTGCGAAACTGACACCTGCATGCCAAGATTCCTGAGCTACACTGAGAGCGCAAAGAAAGGCAAACAAGCCTCGTTTGGACAACCAGTTCAGTCAAGTTGGCTGCTGATGACCTTTATGTCGCGGGAAAAAGTCTGACATGAAGGCTTTGTTGCAGGACACACTTTGCTTCAATGGACATCCTTCGCATCCCCCAAATGTCAAATATGCGGGAGCTTCCAAAAATGTGAGAAGGGCGCATCGAGTTCTTTGCCTAGCGTACGTTTCTCTGCTTTTTGCTGCAAGCGGTCGAATCTGCCATGCGATTCTCAGTCGTTTGTTTAACCAACCCTGGCATGAAAGGAGTCCACCTAAAGGGTGCAGCGCCGCACCTGTGTTGGATTTGTGGCTGTCCCCGAACCTATATGCCAATAAGTATACATTTGCAGATTTCAACCAGATGGGTGGGCCACAACTGGGGGTCCGTGGGTGTGTCTTTTTTAGGGCCCCAAACTGGTGTCCAAGATGTTTCCCTTCAAAACCACAAAAACGGGGACCCTCCCGAAAAAGACGCCGCTCACCATCAACGTGCTCGCCGCCTCCTGCAAGCTGCTCAGCAGCCGCTCCGACTTCCCGAGCCGCGAGGTGAGGTCCGTAAGCCTTGGGGCCACTTGGCAGGAAGCCGAGTCCAAGTGTGGGTGAGCCTACATGGCTTCCCAACAGATTAGTTCCCAGCAAAGGGCAAAGGGGTTCCCAACAAAGGGGCTCCCAACAGATTGGTTCCTTTCGTGCACACATGATTGTCCATTGTTGCAAGCTGGAACCCGTTTATTAGAAGTCAAGAATAGGTACCCACAATGGAACCCTGGTACATGGAAACATGGACTACTAAAACCTGCTGTCCCTTGGTGGTTATTTTGACCCATACCCTGTTATATGGTGATAAAGGGCATCAAAATCACACAGGCAACTTTACAGGCTGTCTCAAACCCTATGCAGGCTTCAGTACCATGGCACAAAAAAGTGTCAGTCCAAGCCCGTGGCCACTGGAACTATCTAAATATGCGTCTGTGTGTGTATATATATATATTTGTATATACATACGCGTAATCTTCCAGTGTGCTCTGGAAAAGGTAAGTTTTACGGGGGGAGCCCACCAGATCTACATAAATATATACATATTTCGCATTGTGCATGAACAGCCAACCATGTTTAGCTGGATCCCTCCAATCAACTCACAGCCACTGAGCGCCGGTCCTAAACAGCAGAATGCATCGCCAACTGAAGTGCCAAGCAACCGGCAAACTGGCAACCGGGCAAGCAAGGAAACACCCAAACATGCCTTGATCATCTGATATCAAAAAACAAATCACAGTTCCGGTGGCGGCAGCAGCCGACAACTATGTGTAGCGCCACATTTACCATTGCCACTTCTGCCCTGCAGCTCGACACAAAAGCGGCGACCGAGGCTTCCAGCTTGCCGCTCAGGGTTTGGACCTCCTCTGCCTGCCAGCGGGGCAAGCGGATTTTTTACGCAGCGCGGGAAGCAATGGATAGAGATGAGAGATAGGCCTGCGATGGGAGTCACATGTCGGGCTCTTTGAGAACTGGGATCTGAGCTGAGAGAACTGAGAGCCGGCTCGCGGCCTCGCGGTTTGAGGGCACATCATCACGGAAATCTTGCGGGCTCAGGAACGGGCTGCAGGCTTTCCAGGGCGTTCCTGGGTAGTGGATCGGGATCCTTCAACCCTTGAAATTGCAAGCATTCCCTGTGCGCGAATGATTCCAGCCCAAAGGAGTCTCCAAACAAATGCTTCAGTTACGCGCTCTGATTCACTGCCGTGGGTATTTGTCCGGATGTGCGGCCTCGGTTTTTGGTCTTGATGCATAAGCTTCGTCGTCTTGGCTGCGCCGGTTGCTGGATGTTTGGCTCATCCTCTCTCATTGCCTCAAAGGAGCTTCCTTCAGCATCCCGTCCTTTAAAATCCAGAATGGCCGTGTCAGCCATTCTAAAATTCTGGGAGCTCAGCCATAGAAGGGCCCTTCGCACGGGAACGATCTCATCTCCTCACTTTTGCCTTTCAAAGGCCAAATGTACAACCCCTATACACCCTGATGGAGTGAACCGTTGGCTTATTGAGTTAACCGTTGATCATGGCCTGATGATGGAAGGCCAGCCACTAGATCCAACATGGCCATGGGTTGTATTGGATTCATACCATCACCTTTTGAATGGTGTGTTTGTTTGAGAATGTTCAACGCTTTTAAGATATCTTCCCACGAAGAGATATGTGTGCATCCTACCTTCTCGGGTGTTTTTGGGGGGAGTACCCCTTTTGTGGTTCGAAAGGGAAACCAACGGGACACCACCAGTTTGTGGGGTTCCCCTACACATCGAAAACCCCGGAATGAATCGGTTCCCTTGTAAATACCAACAATCAATGGTTCCAACCATGGTTTCATCTCGTGTTGCGAAATGGGCTTCCCATGGTTTCCTATGGTTTCAACCCAAAAACCTAAAGGGATGACTTTGAAACCGTGGTAAACCAAAACGTTTAAATCGATTCATTCCGTTGAGTTTCTTAGAGCAAAACGGAATGGGTACGGATCAAAATTAAACCACCAGGATATGGACCAGGTTCTAGTCCATGTGTCCATTTACCAGGGAAACCCATTTTGGGGTCACCCTATTTTTGACCCACTGCCATTTCGCAACCATCCACAGTATTTTGACCTTCACGACCCTTCGTATGGCACAAAAACAACTTTACTTTTTGCAGCCCCCTACTACAATACACAAAACCCAAAAAGACACAAAAAGCTAGGGGACCCCCCCAAGATCGGTGGTGTCCCTTTGGCTTCCCTTTCCAAACACAAAAGGGGTACTCCCCAAGAACGACAAGGGGATGGCTGGCTGGGAAGCAGCAAGTATTTTGACAGAAAAACCTTCGCGCCTGCGCCTTCTGCAGCTCCGCGTGCCGCTCCTTCCAACGGCCCTCGCCGTCCATCCGCGTCTGCAGCTCTGCCAGCCTCAAAGGAAAAGGAGTCCGCACACGATGCACGGTGCAGCTGGTTCTGAATCATGGACTATCCTTGGGGGGGGGGTTACAATATGTGTATACATATGCATATAACATATGCATGCATATACACATATGTATACATATACACATAATATATACATATGTATACAAATATATATATATAGTATTCAACACAGTGTGGCGTGCAAGACCTTTGTATTGTTCTGCACTGCTGTAGTTTACTGTGCTGGCATTCGGATTTGATGCGGCGATCGCTGATCTTGATGTCAGTTGCTCAGCAACCCAGCCACAAACCTATTCCACAGGGGTTGAAATAGACCGAAGTAGCTTGAACAAGTATGTGTCTGTGTGTGTGTGCGGCTTCCCAGCACACAACCAGCACTAGCAATACGTCCCGGTTTACACTGCCCCTCAAAGAGGCCAAGCTTGAGCCAGTGCTACTCACTGCATCAAATCCGAAAATTGACGTTGATTGGTTGTCTATTTGCTTGATTTAGGCTGGCGATCACGTGCAGTCCACAAAAAGCCTCATGGCACAAACAAAGCAGCCGCTGCACTGAGCCAACGGCTCGCGCGACATATCGTGCGCAGCCGACGCCTTGCGAGACACGGTCCATCTAGGGCTCCATCAAAGGGGAGCCTTGCAATGGCTCGATCTTCGCAAAATGAAGTTGGCATTTTGGGGGGCCTTAGATCTTGAAGCAAAAGAAAGGGGAAAGAAAGGATCTGCGCAGGTCCTTGATGTTTGGAGACATCCAAGCTTGGCCATCAGCCACACCCGAGACGAGCTGAGCTCCTTCAACAAGCACGAGCCCAGCTGTGGTCAAAATGTGCCACGCCGCGGCCACGCGTATGACGATGATGATGACGATCGATGACAATGATAATGATGATGATGATGAGGAGGAGGATGAGGAGGATAATGATGAGGATGAGGATGATGAGGATGAGGATGATGAGGACGAGGATAAGGATGACGGTAAGGACAAGGATCATAAAGATGATAAGGATGAGGATAGTGGGGATAATAAGCACAACGATGAGGATTATGGTAATTACGATTGGCCTAGAGTACTATGGCAGAGCCCGAGCGCACCAACCATAAAGTAGGGCAAAAAACTGTCACCACATAGTAGCTCGCAATGTATGTGTCCCGTTTGGGCAAGTTTAGTGGAATTAGAGAAGACCACAACGTCGGGTTGTGCCAGGTAGCCAAAGCAACACATCTTGTTTGTGTACCTAGACGTTAAAAACATGACAATAGACACTCAACCGAGCCGCCGGCAATCTATGATATTGCTTTGAACCATCCCCTGCCACATCCATTCACGCATAACAAGACCTGGGCGCCAAAGAAAAAAACCTGGGGGTACCAAGAAGGCCGCGATTCAACGATGCTGAGCACCCAATGGCGCCCAACCCCCCCCTCCCCCCGGTCGCCTTCATGGGCGCCTCGCCACCAAAGCTCACCTGGCACTTGGGGCGCATGGCTCCAACCGAAAGCTTGCCATGCGATGGGTGGATCGTCGGTTTTTGGAGATGGCACCACTTTCAAATGGGTACGGTTGTGGTAGTTGAGGTCGTTGTTGGTCCCTGGATCTATTCCGGAGAGAGTCCAATATGCCAGTAATGGATGATTGGATCATGGATTGTCCCTGCTGGATTGCCTTGTGGATAATCCTGCAAGCGGCCTGCAATGGCTCTTTTGTCTTCAAGCCAAATGTTGCGGGAGATCAATGGTCTGAAAAACAGAACACAAAACAGACACAAATTTCTTTTGATCTCCAGCACAAAGTATGAAATACTATTGGCTTCATGGCCTTTGACCGTAGCCTTGATGTGTGCCGTAGCCATGTGATTAAAAGTGCCGGATTCATCCTTTTTCTGCTTGGATGAAATGTCTTGGCCTTCGAAATGGGAAACACTATGTACTGCTTCTTTTTGGATACCTAAATGTATCAAAGGGTGATGTACAACGCTATGTACACGCGGAACGATTGTGAAAGTATTGATCTCTCACTCATGGTATAGTCTTGTAGACGACGAGGATCAATCATCTGGATTGTTCGTGGTGCTGAACGTATCTTCATGGTCAGTCGGATCGACGATACCATCGGCGGCTGCTGTCGGATTGACTGCCATGGTCCCCATAATCATTCCAGGTCGAAGTGCTATAGTCCTTCCACTGCTTCTGATGTCCCCACTGCTTGTTGTAGTCCTTGTACTCCTGCGTGGTCCAGGATGATTGCTTCTTCTTGATGTAATCCTGGTATCTCTCAGAGCTGCGTTTACTGGTTGCAGATTTGCTGCGGATGTAAACCATGAGAGGACTGTGGGAGTCGGAGTCCTGCGAGCCATTCATGAACATTTCATTGTTCACGTGCTTGTAGCGCTCTGCGGATGAGACCTGGTAATCGAATATGCCCTTGGTTGGATGGTTCCGCATGAATTGCAGTTGTTCATCATCCATACCGTTCATCTCGTCCTTCCGGAAATCCTGCTGGATGTTCGTTTTGCCCCATCCAAATACGATAGTCATCATCACATCTGGGAATGTTCGATCAAATCCTGATCCACATTTCATGTACAGGTGATGACGGACAATGGATTTCAGGGTGCACGAAGTCTCCATTGCATACTCCATTCTGTCCACGAGTGGCAAATTCTTCGTTGCATTCCACAGTCTCTGATATGTCCTCATGAGGATGTTCACGAGACCGTTGGTCGGATTGTAGACGTGTTGGAGTTTGCTGTAGATGTTCGCTGAATTGTTGGCGTCTCCGGTGATCGCATCGCTTCGGTACAAGGTCACGAGCGGCATGATTTCATTCTGAAGATCTTCCTTTGCTGCTCCATGGCTAAGTGAAGGATGGATGTGGAAGACTCCAATGGTTGCGAATGGTAGATCTGCCCTCGTTATGTGGCGGTCGTCATACTCGTGGAATGACTTGTCGGATGATTTCGGGATCATGCCACGAAACTCATCACTCTGCTCGATGTGGAGAACGACGATCTCCTTGTCTCGGCCATGTCCTTGGACAATGGTGCGTGCTGGCAATCTCGATCCGATGTACTTCTTGGGTTCAGTAAACATGGATGTTCCTGTGGTTGCCAAGCAATCCAAGGTCGGAATTTCGTATTCGGGATCAGTGCAATCTCCTTTAGTTCCGAATTCCCCAATTCTGGCTCCTGGTGGAAATGTGTCTTGCCAGAAGTTCCACTCGTGCAGAAGGTCCGCCGCGGACAAAGCATGCGATCGGTCTGGATGACCATTGCTTGATCACGATGCCCTTGTAACCGTATCGGATGAACGTCTTGATGAGCTCCCTGGATTTCTCATCATTAGGACTGAAGAATGCGTCTGCTTCATTCAGGCACAAGATGTGTGCACTGTTCTGCATCATCATCTTGACGATCGGTCGATCCTTCATCGGCATGTTGTGCACCTCCCTGTTGTCCAGCTTTGGGTTCCTTGTGAGGTTTCCATGGTTCAGGGTAAGCATGTTGATCGCTATGGATGAGGTGAACTCATGCATGTTGAGATAGTCCACGGGAGGACGGTCAGTCGGCTGCATCAGCGATCCCAGGATATCGGCATAGGCTCGGATGATTTTCGGGTCATCATGTGACCTGAGCTTTTTCAATCCAAGCGGAAGCTTGATCGGATATCCGGATCCTGGTTGAGCTTGCTTGTACTCGTCAACGGTGGGACATTCTCCTCGATGAGGGAAGTAGAATTCTTCTTCACCGAGATTGACATCAGGATTGACATGTGCCAATGAGGCTCTCTTGCACTCTGTCAAGTTGGGATGAGCTCTTCTTGGATCTTTGTTGAACTGGTTCATGAAGCGGGTGAGGTTCTCCCTGGTCCCCGCGAGCTCTTCCTCTGCGTCCTTTTTGTTCAGATCTGTTTCGAGATAGATTTCCTTGAGTTCTTGGATGAACTCATCTATGTTCTCTGAATTGTGATATTCCACGATGACCTTCGGCTTGACGGATCTTTCCCCGGAGGGTTCCATCATTTCTCCTTCAGTGGAGTCCTGATCGGTGGAATGCCGTCTCTTCTTGGTCTCTGAAGAAGTATCTTTTTCCTTGTTGTGCTTGGTGGAATTCACATAACTGAAGAAGGCATCGGCTTATTCGCGGATCTTGGTGTCGTACATCTCGTAATCTTCATGATCGAGATGTTTCTTCATGATCCACTTGTTGCTCGCCATGAGGCTGCCATCAGGTTCAAATGCTGCAACAATGTTTCTTGCCTCGATGGTTTTGTCTGTCAACGCTGTTCTCTCTTCGGAGAGGCGGATGCCATAGTCTTGGTCCTTGAAAAAAATGCAAGGATCAACAGTGCATCTCTTCCTGCTGGCACATGGGTCAATGCGGCTTCTGACTCATCGTCTTCGAGGATGACGTCATCGATGCATGCCATGTGGACGTGCATTCTCCCCGAAGGGTTTGACTGGGACTTCCCAGATTTGAGCCCGTGCTCCATGATGCTGTAGAGCTGATTTCCATAGGTTGCACGGAACATGAACGTGATGGGCTTCTTCGAGAACGGCTTGATCTTTCTCTCTTCTTCCATGGATGGTGGCGCCGGCCTTCGCATTCTGTACTTGGGCTGAGCTGTGCCTTCATCTCCATGAGGCGCCTCGGATCTTGACGGATGCGGACTTGGCGGAATGGATTCCGTTGGGAGATCATAGTCCGGTTCGTCGTGATGAGGCTCTTTCTGCTCAGAGTACAGGGGTCGTCCAAAGGATTGGATATCGATTTGTCGTGTGTGTCCGCTGTTGCATCTCACATAGAACTCCATCTCTGAATCAACATAGAATTCCTTGCCATCGGGCCTGAGTGCATTTTGTGCGGATCTGGTGTTGAGCTTATCGATCCATCGATTCCTTGGAACAATGTCTCCCCGTGCCTTGCGCTCCTTATATGTCCCGTCCACGGATGGAACATAGCCATCAAGAGAAGTCCTGGCTTATTTCCAATGAAGTTCCTGGCATGTGTGATGCAGGTCAATGCGTCATAGAGCTCGACGGATCCATCAGGACCCATTTCCACTTGTCGTTTGCATTCCTTATGGATTCCATGCCTTGGATCATGTCGAAGACATCCGGAAAACGATCTGCTCATTCTCTCAATTCGCCAGAGGATGAGATCTGTGATCTGTTTCGCCTTGGATGGATCCATGCGGAAGTATTTGCAAACCTGTTCGACATTCTGGACGGTCTTCTCGAGATCAATGTTGCCGTTGTGGCATACCATCGGGATGATGTCGGTTCCGTAAACTTCGGATTGAGCATTGGTGTAGCAGCAGATGCTGTAGACCTTCTTGATGAAGTCCATGTATTGCTTCTCTGCATGAGGTCCTTCACCTTGGAGTGTTGGATGCCAGTAATCGTTGAATCTTGCCTTCAACCAGAATACCTTAACTCCATGTGGTCTCTCGTGCTCAGGAACGAAGTGGAAGTCCGGATTGACATCGAGGATGGTTGAGCATTCCTTGTAGTACTCGTGCACAAAACTCAGGAATTTTGAGTTTCCGAAAGGTCCTGGGTGCACGGATTCCTTCTGGAGGCTGATGTTCGTATCCGATCCATATGTTACAAACCACCGATCGTTGGATGTGAGAACAGGCCGCATCATTGGTCGCCTTGGAAGTGCAGGTCGATCACCAGGATGATTGTCGGATTCCGTCTCGTCATCCAGGGTGTTCTTTGGTGCTGGCTTGACCTTGGAGACAAGCCTCAATGTCGGTGGCGGTGACTTTGGAACAAGTTTCGGATGTGGCATCGCCTTTGACAAAGGCCTTCCTGCGAGAGGATGCCCTTCTTCATCTGAATCATCGTCATCGGAATCTCGATCATAATCAACCTGCTCCATGTTGACATTCTCGGGTTGTTGAGAGGCGGATGGATTCTCATCAGCGACTTGCTCCATGGGGCAATCGGATGTCTCATCTTCCTCATCACGAGCAGGGGATTCCTTCAATGGTGATGCCCGCCTCTTGATCATCGGCTTTGGCACAGGTGCCGCATCGCCGGATCGTCCAAACATCAGGTTGAGGATGGGCATGTCAACGAGGTGATCGAGCATACAAGATTGCAAAGGTCGGATTGGTTGTAAACCGAAAGTGGCTGCGGAGGCAGACACATATTTCTTGAGATTCAAAATGGGTCAAGTGCAAACACGCGCATCACGGAATTGAGGAATTGAAAATATGCAAAACTGAAAAACTCATGCATCAGAATTCGTGGACATGCGGATCATGCCCAGGTTCCCCAATAAGCAAACATGGATTCTGCTATACCGACTCCTGCAAAGGCAATGATGTCGGGTCCGTGCTTCGTGTTGCGCGCTAGCCACTCAACCAAGAATGCCTTGTTCTGCAACATGGTACGGAAGGGTGGATGTGCATCTACATTCAAGAGATTGCCGGTGAGGACGGCCTTGATGAGCTCGTCTGC